GCCCTCATCCACTTCTGTGGATGAAATTCATTCAATATTTCTCTCCTCTTCCCCCCATCCCTGTGGTTCTTAAATTTCAATTCTAGATCTCTAACTAGGATACCTAACTCGGTATCAAGGTCCAGTTTTCTTTCCTTAGTGCGTGCTAATTCAAACAGTTTTATAAGAGTGGATTCATTTTAGAAATATGCGTTTGGTACCAATTAAGTGCCAAATAAAATGAAAACATGTTTTAAATATAGTCAATGGAAACATATAACACAAATGGGAGGACCACCAGTTTACTAGAATGTAATTTCTCATAATATTTAACCATTTAAAAATGTCCTCTTAATTATAGCACAGTGGTTTTGGACTCTGGATGCCAGACTGGCTGAGCTCAAATTCTGAACCTACCACAATGAGCTGTGTTATCTTTGGTGGGGTAACTGCTGTGTGTTCCACAGTGTTTTTCTTTCATGAACTACAGGACTAACAATAACTACTGTGAGTCCTGAATGAGCTAATGTACATGAAATACTTAAAATAATGTCCAGAATATAATAAGCACTACTATTTTGCTATTATTTTTATAAAAATAGAAAGTTCAACAGTTTTTCCTTAAGATGAAACATTCTCAAAGTCTCGTTTCATTGCCTTGTGCCTACTTATCTCCATTGTGCCTTTTTATGAAAATGTATCTTTTGCACAAAAAAATGCCACAAATCTGGGTCAGAATCCTAACTTGGTTTGGTTTTTGAACCTTGTCAAACTGTGGACTGTTACTAACCCTAGTTCAAAAGGATTTATAGAAGTGCATTTATTTAGGATCTATATGTTTAGTACCTTTTAAGTACAAAGTATATTGAAGTAGCATTTAAAATACACTCTATTAAAATCTGTAAAACCAATGGGAGGACCCCTGGTGTAGGCGTAGGGTAGCACACTTCCTTGGTTGGACAGTCAGATCACCTGATCTAACTTCAGGGAAAATTTTTTTTTTTTTCTTTTAGGTGAGGCAACCCTTGGTTGACCTCACAGATTGCAAGGACTTTGTCAGCTTACACTCTCTTCTTTTTTTATTTTTTTATTTTTTACACCTACAGCACCTGGTCTCCCTAGGTGGTCTCCCATCCAAGTACTAACCAGGCCCGACCTTGCTTAGCTTCCGAGATCAGATGAGATCCAGCTTGTTCAGGGTAGCATGGCCATAGACTCAGGGGAATTTTGTCAGTATAATGACTACAGGACTAATTAGTTGCAGGAATTCATTTGGGTTTTTAAAATCTTGCAAATTAATTTCCATATGCATAGGGAACTTATTCTGTCTTCATGTTAAAGTATTTAAGAATAACAACAAAACAGGTCTGTGACAATGAGAAAGCAGTCTCTAAAGAAATGTATTTTTGTTTAATGTTGTGAGGAATCTTTTATTGTGCTTAAAAATAAATACTTTAAATTAAAAAAAGAATAGATTTTTCAACACTTATTCCAGGTCCAACATTGTGCAAGTTTACTTATAGAATTGCAAAATGGCTCTCTCCGAAATATAGCAAGTCTAATTAGTAACAGGGTTGTTTCCGTCATAACTATAGATTTAGAAAAAAACAT